GGGAACATAAAAGGCACATGACTGGAATCCACTAGTTTCTTCTATACAAAAATATTTATCATGCAACCACATTAAAACTTGATTGCTGCATGATATAGGAATTAAAAAATAAAACAAGCAGGTATAATCAACCAACCCAAAGGTTCCCATCACATGTGTTGATACATGTGTATGCGAATCCAGCTCCAAAGCTAACTTGGCAAGTCCAAAATCCGATACCTGTTCATAGAAAAATGAACTACAGGATGAAGATAACCCAAGACAATCTTATAAAGCTTCCAGACAAATAACTGTAAATGTTGATCATTCTACAAATATACTACTAACACAATCTTTTTTTCAACAAAAACTAATAGGCCATTTCATCAGGCCAAAATCATTAGCAGATGCAGCATTATACCCAAACTAACCTCAAATCAAATCAAAATATTGTTCTTTGCAAAAGTTTAGGTTTCAAAGACAAGCATACCTGAGCCTCAAAATTGTTGTCTAGAAGAATATTTGATGACTTGATATCCCTATGAATAATGCGGGGATGGCCTGATCAAGCAACAAACGAAGTTTCTTCAGATGTTATAATGAAAATGGCATGTGGAAGATGAAGAGAAATGCTATAAATGTAGATGTATATAATCACTTTTATGTGCCAATGACATTGAGCTATATGTGCAACCTGTATGTTGCAAAAGTTCCAAACTTCCAATTACACTATTCAGGTGACTCAAGAAGTTTTGCAACTGATGCCAATCATAATAGTCATAAAACATGCAGGTCTTTCCAACTACAATGACACATGTGCTAAGAAAAGTAAAAGATAGGTTGTGACTAGAGTAGAGAAAGAAATAAACAGAAAAGAAGAAGAAAATTACAGTCTTCATGGAGGTAAGCTATTCCACGAGCTGCACCAACAGCAACCTTGACTCGAGTAGCCCAATCCATGACTGGCCTGCTTTTACCTGTCAATTTCCACAATAATACAGGAAATTACAACAAAACCATCCTTACAAGAGAGTTATTAATTACCTGGCCAAAAAGAGAGTTTTTATTGCAATAATGTTTCTATTGTCATTTTCCTTTGTTTTCTCTGGGCATTTTTTTGTGTCCACTTTTTTCTTGAAAGATTTCTAATGGGTAACATAGTTCAGATTGTATCCATTATGTCATATGCAGCACACAAAAAAACAATCACCATACAGAGGAAAAAAAAATTGAGTCTAAGATCTTTTCTTCTTCCAGGCTCAGAAGAATGGCTTACCATGGAGGTGGTAATGAAGGGTATTGTTTGGGAGGTAGTCATAGACAAGCAATCTTTGGTGGTTTGAAATACAGTAACCCACCAGTGAAACCAAATGGCGATGATGTACACGGCTAATGATCTCCACTTCTGCTCTGAACTCACGCTCTCCCTGTCCACCTCCAATCTTTAGCTGCTTTACAGCCACTTCTCTTCCATCTGTGAGGACACCTTTGTATACACAACCAAATCCACCTTCACCCAAAAGATTCTGTCCTGAGAACCTATTTGTAGCCTGGACCAGTTCATTATATGTGAACCATGACTTCGAATTATTTATCCCATCAGACTCTGATATGAAATTACTTTGTGAATTACTTCCTACAAGAGGGGCAGAAGAATAAAGCCTCACGAATGTTGATTCTGTAGAGCAATCAAAGTTACATTGATGTTAAATTGTTGCTCATAAGAAAACATTCAGTTACAGGTACAGCCTGAAATCTACATAAGAAGCACAGAGCAATACATCTTAGTTATGTAATATGTAACTTAAGATTGTTTTTAGGAAAAGTTCAAATTGGGAGTGTTAATATTAGAAAGTTCATAGATACCAATTGAGTGGAGTACTGGGGTTACTTTATAATTAGAAATAAAAATTGATCACTGATGAAGGATGTGACCTGGTAGTATGAAGCTCACTCCTAACTGGCTTGGTGACTAGGATATCAATACTGTAGACAATTAGAATGAACCACAATGAGCAAAAAACTTTCATTCATTTCCTAAACCACCAGATTGGAAAAACCATACCTCAGATGTGAAAGGATCAAGTAAGTGCTTGCCTTCCTTATAAAAGTGCCTGTCACAACAGGTTTTTTTTAAAGGTCCTAGGTCTACAGGTTACGTGTCTATGCCTAAGACTAAGTCTAGGCGTTGTAAGATACTAAGATTATCACAACTCAGCCTAGATAGAACATGACACATCATGCATGTGAGGTACCAGGACACAAATAAGATCTTCAAAAATGCCCTAATATATCATGTTATGTAATAATCAGAATGCATGGCATCATGAATTCACTAAAAGACAAACAATCAACTTGTTTATAGTAATTGACAAATGTCCTTATCAGTCAATGCTTCAACAGTTTCCCAATTCCAACTAAAAAAAATTCTAGTAGAAAATTTCTTGCTTACTGCAATGTAAAGTTTAAGGATTGCAGATGAGAATTTTGAAACAATTAACCATGAAATGAGTACCTGCTAAGGAATATATGCAGCTTCTGTAGTTTTTAACTATGTTGCAAATGATTTGCCTATACCATTGAAATTTAAAAACAACCAATGAGAAAGTATATGGTATGAATAAACACAATAGAATACATTACCTGAATTATGATGGTAGGCAAATGGAGAAGGCATTGTATATCCAGCATTTGCCCCAGCACCCCTTCTCTTTCTTTTCTGTGCAAACCACGTGGCCATGACAACAAGACCAAGAACAACTAGTGCAGCCACAATGCCCACTGCAATGGCATTTCCTGTTCCCAAACTACTAGAAGTTGTATTGGCTGATGAAGTGGTGCCATTGGTTGATTTTGCAGTTGGCTTCTCAGTTGGAATAGCAGGCAAAGATGATGAACTGATACTTCCATACACTTTTGCTAAATGCCAAAATTCAACCTTTAAGCCTGTATCATAGCTCTTTCACTGAAAAGAGAAAACAAAACAGTCCCCAAGCATTGACAAACTCAAACCCAGAAGCCAATCCTCTTCCAGGAAACTAGGCTAAGACAAATCTGACGGAATTTCTTTTCTGGTCAACTGGATTTTATGAACAGCAACAGCCTCAAAAACACAAGACTTGCCACAAATGAGCAAACCTCAGTTCCAAACTTCGGCCAAGGTGCAAACCCAGATCAATAAAATCCATATTTAGAGAAAAGAAAAACAGATCATCATAGTCCAAAGTTGACTCCTATACTTAGTTCTAGTCTCTACACCAAAATTCATACCATACACTACTAATACCGGGAATGCAGCATTAACCAGACGACCAAAATGTGAAAAAGAGAAAACCCAGAAGCAGAACACTGAATAATTACTCACCTATATCTCAAATTTGAAGAAAGTGAATTCAAGTTGGAATCTTGAAAGTGGAACCGGTTGGTCTTGGTTTTGCAATAAAGCTAGGGGTGATGGAGGAGGTGCAAATGCAATGCCCGTGTAAAAACATAAATTCTGCCAAGAAGGAAACGTGGAGGCAACTTGGGGCTACATCCTTCTCAACATCCCATCACATGGTGCCTGTGGAGAAAAGCTGAGCAGAGCAGACGTTTGTTGGTTTGGTTGTTTTCTTTCACTCTCCTTTTCCTTCTTTTATTTAATTATTTTTATTTTTATTTTCTCGCATTTAATTGAGTTTGACTTTTGAGTGACCCCTATCACCCAAATAATTCCTTTTTCTGACAAATTGCAGTTGATTCGCATATTGTTTGAGGCCGGTACACTTTGCTCTAACAATTACAGAAACATGTGCATTTAGTTCTCTTAGACGTTCGTACTTTTATTTAGGTTCATAAAACAAGCAGAGTACACACTCCACACCGTAGAAAGCATCCCTCTTTCTTTTCTTTTTCTTTTTCATTTTTCGTTTCTGGTATAATGAGAAGAATGGCCAAATTACGTGGCCTCAGCTCTTATTTATTCAACTCAGCCTCTACAAATAAATTCAGTGAACAGTAACTATAAATCAACAGTATCTCTCCAAAGCACTCTATTTTTCATACTGCTTCCAAAGTATAGACAAACCTTCATCCATCCTTCTCCAACTCCTTTCCTTCCCAAAGCCATGGCATTGTCTAGTTTACTAGCTCTCTAGTAAAACCCACGTAAGAGAATAAAACCTTACTCAAAATTGTGGGTTTATATTTTAATAGATTTTTTTTTTTAACAATTAAAGGTATTCTCGAACGAGTTTAGACTAATCTCAAGATTAATTCATTTTTAATTTAATTAAAAAAAATTATCCATACTAAAATTACTTTCTCATTAACTTCTTTAAAAAATTAAATTTTAATCAATAAATAAAATCATTAATACTAGAACTACCCTTCTATTAATCTTTTCAAATAATCAAATCTTAATTAATTGATAAGACAAGAAATATATCTCCTTATCACTGTTCTTTGGTTGTACTCCTTAGGTCGGTTAGTCCCAAATGGACATTGCGCTGCTCTAATTGGCTTAATACTGATCAACTCGGCCCAACTCTAGTTTGAGGCTTCGAATTTGGGCCGACACAATTGGGTTCGAAAACAAATGGCCGTCCCATCCCAAGCTGTCGCAATAAGTATCTCGCCGGCCTAACCCTTCTTCACCTCTCGTAAAATGGCCGGTCCGTTGGCATGGACGGCGAGTAAAGTCGGAGGCCTTGGTAGTGGTGGCAATGAGAGCAAGATGGCCGGAGAATCCCAGTCGTGTTCACCCCCAGAGGCCGGAGCAGCAAAAGTAAGCATACGATCTCTTCTTCTGACTTAGTCATGCAAAATATGATCAAAGATTTTTTTTTTTTTTTTAAATTCCATATTTCTCTTCCTCATTTTTGTTGGGAATGTGGTGATCAGATCAACCTTCTTATTCTTCTTCCTAATTAAAGTAAGTCAGATCTTTTTGTCTTTTGAGATGTTGGATAATGGGAAAAATGAAAATGGTTTGAGCCATTTACAATATGTCATAAGAACTGCATTTATTCCTATAAAGTTCACTAATTTCCTGGATGAAGATTGCATTTTTTACAGACTTACTTTTTCCAAAAAAGCTGGAAGTAGAGAACTTGAGATCACTGAGATATTAGAATTCTTAAATGTGTTATCAAAATTGTAAATGTTTCAAGGAATATGTTTTTCTATTCTAACAAATGTGATTTCTTTTTTAAAAGAAAGAAAAGATGTTAAGAAACAGAACATACACATACATGGTATTGAGATTAATCAAGTTCTGTTCTGTTGTGCAGTTCAAAGTGATAAGTCGGCTGGTATTTATTAATCAAGTTCTGTTTGCAGCTCAACAAATCCTCAGCTATCATCTATTCACTAGCAGTTGTCGGCAATATCAGGTACACTGTATTAATTGGGAAAATGGGGGTGGGTAGACGGAGGAGAAGAAGGATTGGAAGTGAAGTTGATTGGTGTTAGAAGAAAATAGGGGCTTAATAGCGTAAGAAGAAGGGCTTAATTGCTTTGATCCCAGAGTTCAAGGGCTTAACTGCATCAATTAAAGTCTAAGGGCTTAATAGCGATCTGAGATTAGTTCAGGGGCTTAACTTATGGTTTTGCCAAGTTGTAAACCACTTTAATACGTTACTCATTATTGTCATTTCCAATAATTCAGAAATCCATCTTCTTTCCATCACCACCGTTGACCACTGCTCACAATTCATTCCACCCTACTATTTTCTCCTTCCATCCCAGGCCTCTTGAGACTAGATCGGTTAGAGATAAACACATGGAGATCAATCACTTTAGCCATCACCACCGTTTGGTGCTCCTGGATCGAGAAACGGATACTGCTCAAAGCCCAAAACAGTGTTGCTTTGGATGCGAGGAAGCTGTGGAGGGATCCACCTACAGCTGTGGCAAGTGCCGTTTTTTTCTCCACAAGAAATGTGCTGAGCTACCAGGTGAGATCAATCACCCCCTCCACCACCAACATCCTCTTGTTCTTTCCGTTATGCCCTATGGGCACTCGCGACCTTTTTTTTGTAATGTATGCTGGAGGAGTGTAAAGGGATTTGCTTACCACTGCTCTTCTTGTAAGTTTGACCTCGACATTAGATGCGCTACCCATCCAAAACTTGTTGCTGGAGATTTTCAAAAGCTTCAGCATTTTAGCCACGACCATCCATTGATCTTTGTTCAACAT